AAATAAATAATCCATAAAACAAAACAAAAAATAATTTCCAAATCATTAATTCAAAACACATTTAAAAACATTCATACAAGAACTCATACCAAAACATCCCATGTAAAAAACAAAATTGAAAAAAAAATAAATGCCACAATATCTAGATGTCACAAGAACTCGAACTACTTGGATCATAGAGGAAGATATCTCATTGCCAAAACCAACTCCAAGTAATCTATTGTTAATCTGTATCAAACACAACAAAAGTGCATTAGCAAAACTAAAAAATTATTTGCTAGAATAAACAGTAAATTAAGCATATATTTAGAACTGAAAATACTTATCAAGATGAAGTCGTCTCGCTAGTCTTCCTATTGTCTCCACCACGTTGCATCGCCAACTTTACCTTTGTCATTTGCTACAACATCATCTCTTGTGTCTTTTCCATCTACTCGAGTTTTGCCTTAGTCTCATCCAACTCTCTTTGTTTGCTTTCATTTTCACCCTGAAGAGTCACAACAACTGTCTTCAAACCTCTTACCTCTTGCTCATGTTCAAGAGTTTTGGCAACATTTATTGAAGAAGATGATTTTGGGCCAACCCCATAACTGGACCTATTGCCAAGGACAGTGCATACAATCTCTTCTTGAGACAACGGGGATGCACCATCCTTTATTGGTTGATCCTTCAATTCCTTCATCCATTCCTAAATTTTTTAAAAAGTTGTAACCCAACAACAAAACCTATGTATTTTGAAAATGGAAATACAAAGACAATTGATACTTTCATATCAAGACTCTGCTTCTAGTGAAATCCATTTCATTGACTTTTTGTTGATGTGGGTTATATAAAAGAAGTCCAAGATATGAGGTCGCTCATGTGCCTTAGGGTCCAACTGTTTTTAGAAATTCACGTAAAACTATATACTTTCAATATTTTAAACAAATGAAAGACAAATAATTTTAAGTTAAAAAATTATAACCATATCATGCATCGCAGAAATAAAAGACTTAGAACTCATAGGGTGATTATAGGGCAACTTAGCACAATTTTCAGAATTTGTCTTTGATCGTTTCTACAAAAAATAAAAAAAAATTGTATTAGAACAACAAATTACTCATTTATATTGCATTAAAAACCATCAACAAATTACCTGGAAGTTTTGATCCTTGTAGACATGTTCTATTATATAAATCCAATCATCTTGACTAACTTCTCGATAAAGCTTATTTTTTGGGTCCATCTTAGACTCCACTAATCTAATGTAATACTTGTGCATTCTACAACGGTAATGACTATACAACTTAGCAAACTTTTTGTCAATGAATTCTGCAATATGATCAAATTCACCATATCCCACAAATTATTACTTGTTTTTCGAACCACTTGGGAAATTCCTTTTGATGCCTTCTATGAATGTCTTGTTCATTTTGCTCTTGCAATAGGTTTTTGTGCTCTCTACTTACAAAAAAAATGTGATTGTAAATCAAATAAAAAAAAATTAAAATCATGCATTCACATATTTAAAAAGTTAACTTACTCTAGATGTGAATCTATCTTAGGGCTGTTATACAAAACAAACTATTGAGCCATATCACGCTCCTTCTGGGACACCTCAGTTGCATTTGTTATTGTCCCAAAGGGACGAACATTTTGCGAGAACACCATCAACCCTGGACTATGTTCACTGCCATCGTTATTTCATTCCTCATGGTTAAATACAATTTCCATCCCATTTAGATATAGTGAACAAAAAGTCAAACACTCATTCACAATATGAGCTTCTGCGATTGAACCTTCAGGATGAGCTCGATTTCCAACATACTTCTTCAAAGTGCCAAGGTACCTTTATACAATACAAGTACAATCAGATTTAAGTTAACAATACATGTATTGATATCAGAAAGATTATTACCTTTCAATCAGGTACATCTAGCGGTAATGAACTGGTCTGACAAGAATTGCCTCCTGAGGCAAGTGCACAACTAGATGGACCATAACATCAAAGAATGCTGCTGGAAAAATCTTTTTCAACTTGCAAAGTATTAAAGCTATTCGATAATGAGATAACTTCAAGTATTTAACCCTCAATGTTTTCAAACAGAGTTGTTGAAAAAAATTGCCTAACTCAAACAAAATAGTATAAATTTCTTTGTCAAGATACCCACGTATTCCAATTGGAATGAGCCGCTGTTGGAGAACATGACAATCATGCCTTTTCAAACCTGATACTTTTCCATCCTTAGTACTTATAAATCATGAGATATTTGATGCATTGCCATCAGGATACTTAACTGATTTTAGGAACTCACAAAAACCATGTCTTTCCTTCGGGGACAATGTGTACCACGCTGGGGGCTTCAGATAAGAATCACCTCACTTCTAAAGGTGCAATTATTTCCTTATATTCAAATCCTCCAAATCTAAAAGAGCCTTTTCAGTATCTTTATTCTTTCCATCTATACTAAGCAATGTTCCAAGAATATTGTCACATATATTTTTCTCTATATGCATGACATCAAGGTTGTGTCTGAGGTTTAGTGTTACCCAGTATGGTAGCTCAAAGAAAATGCCTTTCTTTGTCCAATTAAGTTCTTCAGATGTGCGTTTTCTTTTCCTGTTGCTTGGATGCTTCCCAAACTTGACATTTGTCAATGATTGTAGTTACTCCAAAATCTCATCCCCAGATAGCTCTAACGGTTTTAACCGCTTCTCATATTTACTGTCAAACAACTTACTCCAACGTCATGAATGGTCTTGAGGCAAGTAACGACAATGTCCCATGTAGCATATTTTACTTCTCAATGGCTGGGATGATGTATCGTAGTTACAAACTGGACATGCCATATAACCCTTTGTACTCCACTCAGACATGTAACTATAAGCAGGAAAGTCATTAATGGTCCACATAACACGCATTCGAAAATTATTTTTACTATATGCATCACAAGTTACCACCCCAACTTCCCATAATTCTTTCAACTCATCGATTAATGGCCGCATATAGACATCAATATCTTTCTCAGGTGATTGCGGACTGGGAATAACCAATGTCATCATAAAGTATGGATTTTTCATACATTTCCATGGAGGCAAATTATAAGGCAAAAGTATGACAGGCCATAGGCTATATGTGTTGCTCATGTTTCTAAAAGGGTTAAAACCATCGGTGGCTAACCCTAATCTAACATTACGTGGATCTTGAGCGAAGACAGGATATTTTAAATCAAATTCTTGCCATTCTACAGCATCAACAGGATGTCTTGACCCATTCTCATCATCTACACGCTTATCCTTGTGCTATCTCATATCTGTTGCAGTCTTTCTTGACATGTATAACCTCTGTAACCTTGGTTTCAATGGAAAATAACGCAGGATCTTATGATGAATCTTCTTACCCTTGCCATCATTGACCCTGTATCTAGATTCTCTATATTCTGGACAATTTTCTCGATTTTCATTCTTTTTCNTGAGGAATCTTCTTACCCTTGCCATCATTGACCCTATATCTAGATTCTCCACATTTTGGACAATTTTTTTGATTTTCATTCTCTTTCCAAAATAATGTACAATCATACTTACATGCATGAACGAGAACATATCCCAATCCCAAAGCTCGTAAGAACTTCTTAGCATCATAAATGGAATTTGGAAGTAAGTTACCTTTAGGGAGAAGAACCTTCAATATCTCCAATAACATGTTGAATGACTTATTACTCCACTTGTTCAACACCTTCACATGAAGTAATTTGACAACCGTTGATAGCAGAGTAAATTTTGTGCATCCCGGATATACCTCACGTTGAGCATCCTGCACTAATTTTTCGAACTTCTTCACATCCTCTTTATCACCACAATCACCAGTTTCACCAAAATCCGATTCCCCCCAGACAGTATCCATGAAAGCCCCCATACCCATATCTTCTAAGATATTAGGTAATTCATCATGATCATCAGCTTCAGAGTTTGTTGTGTCATCTTGGAGAGTTTCACCGATGTTATTATCCTCATTGTGTTCATTTGAAGGGACAGGGACCCCATGGTGTACCCACACCATGTAAGAAGCCATAATCCCTTTCCAGCACAAATGAATTTCTACAGTCTCTTCAGTATGCCATAATCCCTTTCCCGTTTGTGGCATTGCAAATCTAATAAACGACTTCACCCCATCAATTTATTGTTTACTCGATCTTTTCCTAACTATGATCCAACTCTTATCCATTTCAATTAATGTAACTACGAAACTGTATTTTTTTTTTAACTAATTAGATGGAGAAACACTAACTAAAATAAAGATATATATATCCATTCTTGATATATCCGAAACTAGACAACTCAAAAAATCATATCACCGAAAAAATATTCTCTAAATAAAAAGAAACTGTTAAATGGTTCTAACATTATATACATGAATAAATATATTATAGATATTAACATTTATACTTCACTAAAAATATCTTGATTGTGCTATACAATTTAAAAACAATTAAACTTTCTAAAATTTAAACATGCATTATGTTCAACAAAATTTTCACATAGTAAAATTTATATACATGAATAAAGGGACAAAGTGTTACCTAAAGGTCGCAAAAGAGACAAATATTCACTCACAAAAAAGACAAATAATCACCTGAATATCACAAAAAAAACAAAAATGAAATGGAGTACGAAAAGCAAGTACAAATGACTGCACTCTTTTAGTAATGCCAATTACAACTTTTACAACTACAACTATTTCGGAAAGAGTAAGGTTATTTGAACTTAAAAATTGACTTGTTATGTGGCTTTGGTGAAACTATTGAATCAACACCAAATTTTAATGTTTAATGTCCACAATCAATTCAAATTAGATTCACAGTCAATTTAAAAGTCATAGGGAATTAGGTCAACAAATAAGATCTCAATGTCATTGCTCTTTCAGAAAAACCAGAACAATGCTCACAAAAACCCAACTTCATTGATCTTTTCGTGGCATGGTCGCTTCCCCCTCCCTTCCTCTCTCTTTCCCATCCCCGGCTTCAAGAACCCATGAGTGCAAGCTCTGGATAACGATCAAGAACCTTCTCTGTCATATCCAAATATGGAAGCTCAGTTATTTCCAGAGCACTCGGCATTGCCCTTAGAACCAACCCATGATCAATCTGTCCCACCTTCCGCCTGTTCCCACTTCCTCTATTCCTCTATTCCTCTCTTCCTCCACTCTATTTTCCTCCACTTTTGGTTTCTCTTCCCCTTCCAATCCAAATCTCCATGGAAACAATTTCTTATTATCCTTTTTCTTAATCAACAACCCATCTGGTTAATGCTGATCCCCCATTGCTCACGCTAAGGGCATCATCCACAGAAAAAACAAATCTTTCGGAACCTGAAAGATCAAGCCCATCTTCTGGGTCATCCTCTGCTAAAAATTCCCACAATCTCCTCCTTCTGATCTCAGTACCTTCAAATTGAAATGTCACCTTTATCGATCCTCTATCATACCAATCTCTTGACCAGTACTTTGTACTAATCGATTTGAATGTGTTTTCAGAAGTTAAATTTTGTAATTCTTGAGGAGTGTTATTTTCATTATCCCATAAAAGACCCTCTAATTCATTATACAAATCTTTGTAAAGATTACCGATCAAGAATTCAGGGGCGTAAGGGCTATTAAACCCATCATAAATTCCAATAAAAAGTCCCCCAACCACATGTACCCGATCCTCCCCTGCCTTCCCTAAAGCCCAGTGAACATTACTCTCACTAACCTTCATCTCCGCTGACTCTTTACCACCATCTGTCGCCGACGGCATATCTTTTCATCCACCGATGAAGTTTCGAATCGGCACCACCCATGGACCTGACGATTCGCCAGCACCACCAACACTGCCCCAAACCACCCACCCTCAAACCTTCAGCGATTTCTCATACTTTTAATTTTTTAAGTATATATAGAATTATATATATATATATATAGAACAAGTGCGGAAGACATGTGAGTTAGGTGATTCACAAGCTGTAGATATAAAAGTGGAATAATAAAAAATTCTTTATAAAATCTTGTTTATAAGAACAAGATACAAATTACAATAACAGAAATAAAATACTTACAACACTAGCACTAGTGGGCTAGTGGATGTAATGGGATAGGAATGAGAGGCTCTTCATTTGCATCTTTATGAAGACTTCTTACAATATGAGGATAGTGTATATGGATAGTGAGCTTTTTTTTAGAGGAAGGCTTATGAGAGCTTTCGGATGTCAAAGCTTTTTGAAGCAAAAGCTTGAAGAGATAGTGAAGACTGAAGTCCTTATATAAAGGTAAGAAGTTCGCAAGGAATCTCTGGAATGATTGCTTCTTTGTCTTCTGTGGCTGATTTTACTTGGGTAAAGTGTTTCACCTTAAACTTTCAATGGAAAGTAGAGGTAAATTACTTTTACCAAAGTAAATGCTGACTTTCGGTGTAGGTGGGCCCTACTGTTGTCTGAAAAAATCTATTTTCGGTGAAAAGCAGATCTGAACAAGGACTGACGGCTGCTTTTGGAGGAAAGGGCCGTTGTACCAAATGATTTCTTATCGATATATGTAATAGACAACTTTTCTTTCTTTAATGAAGAAAGTAGTGAGTGAAGCTATCACACATATGAACAAGTACAATTATGGGGTAGAAATATCTACCAGGTCATCATACCATGCATATGGATCTTGACTGTCTTGAAATGGATCCCAAGGTCGGGGTAACTGAGGCCTGGGATGAGGCAGATGAACTACTTTCACTAACTGCTTGTTGAAGAAGCTTATGTGCTAACTCAATGAGGGCAGTAGACTTCTTCTTGGATTGCTTACTAGGGTCCTTAGAGGAGGACTTTTTCAGCTTGGGTTCTTCTGTAGTGGATTTTTTCAACTCTTCTTGAGTAGAAATCCTGAGAGAAGGCATGACCTGTTTGACTGGAGTTGCAGGGGTTAAGGTTGCTGGAACCGCTACTGGGGTTGGAACCTTGACTGGGAACTCCTGTTTGACACAGTCAATAATTGATCCTTGCTGGAACCAGGGCCACCATTTGACATAGAATTGTCTGGCGACATTATAACCGATAATTTTCCATTTTCATTTGTATATCCATGAGACTTTGTTCCTGCAAATAAATGTTAGTAAAATAGGAAACTGACTCTCATGTTTACTAGGTGGATAAACAGAGGAGAAGGCTATAATCTGATCTTGAAGATCAGCTGGAAAGATTTCATGAATGGGGCCGTGAATAAAGCACCACTGGACGAACTAGGACGGAATCTGGCTCTTGAAATCTTTATGGAACTGTAGGAACCAGGAATGATCTAAAGAATCATTCTGATAGAGGATGATTTTATACCATGATTCTTTGTAATCATAGTAATTAAATTATCTCTTGTGATAGGGCAAATCTCTGAGTAAAGAAGGATGAGATCCTCAATCTTTGAGAGAAATAATTTTTAAAATATTTAAAGAATGATAAATAACTTTACTGGAATCATTTTTATCGGCAATGGGCTTGATAAAAATGGATTGAGTAAAGAATAGTATGTCTTGATAGAACTGGAAGGTCTTTTTAGGATCAGATGGAATATAGGTCCATCCTGGCATAAGATATGCATTGACAAGGTCCATTGAGTCACTTAAGTGAGCATGCACTAGTTCAATAGCAATTACATTTTGGGTATATGCTTTGATGTATTCAACTTTTGGGCCTTTATGGGCTAACTGTGGTTGGTGAAAATATGGGTTAACAAGTTGCCTAAGAGAGCCTGGTTGGGCTAGTGTAATAGGTCTTGGAGCCTACTGGGCCATTTGGAGGAAAGTGCTAGGTGGCACTGTGGTAGATTTGGCTATTGGCCTTGTTGGGTTAGGATTATCAAGAGGTTGGAATCTATTGGTAATTTGGATAGCAGAGGATTGGCATCTTAGACTTGGCAAGACTAGTGGGCTTGGCAAGGCTAACTATTTGTCAAGGTTTGCCTTTCCTTGGGCAAATATTTGACTCAATTTTTGTTTTCCAGTATCCCTCCCGGCTTTGGAAGAGGTGCCAGGGTTTGGATTTTTCCTGTCCGCCATGAGGTTCCTGCAGAAATTTATGGGTTAGGAAATCAGGGATGTAATTATTACTGCCTTTAATATATTCGATATAAAAATCAAAAATACTTAAAATAGATTTTCATCTGGCAAAAATCTACTTACTAGCAATGTTTTGTACGTCTTTTTCTAAAACATACTTTGCTGATTTACAATCAACTCTTACTAAAAGATTATGATTTAATATATCATCCTGGAATTTAGAGATACACAGGACAATAGCTAAAATTTCTTTTTTAATAGTACTATAATTTGCTTGTGCCTTATTCCAGATACTAGAGTGAAAACGAACAATTTGCTCTGGGAATTCTGGAGTAAGTTTCTGGAGGAGGATACCACCGTAGCCAATGTCGGAGGCATCAGTTTGGATGATTTTGAAGGAATCAACAAAAAGAATACCAAGGTAAGACAAAGTTTTAATGAACTGTTTGACTTGCTGGACTATAGAAGTATGAATAGATGTCCAAGGAGAAGGATTTTCTTTGAGTCTGTCATATAGAGGTTTGACAATTTTCCTAAGATCCTGATAGAAGTCAGAATCATAATTTAGGGAACCTAAAAATCGTTGAAGCTGGTTTTTATCTGTGATCTCATCAGGGAATTTATCTACAAATTGGATAGACCGACTGATGGGAACAATGGTGGACTGCTGGATGTTGTATCCTAGAAACCTTACTGAGGCTTGGAACAACTTGATTTTACTAGCTGAGATAACAAGACCATTGTGTTTGACAATCTCAAGGAATGCATAGAGGTGCTTCCAATGTTCTTCTATAGATCTGGAGAAGATGAGGACATCATCTATATAGACTATAGAAAAATGACTAATGCATTTAAAAATTTCATTCATTATATTTTGAAATTCACTAGGTACATTTTTTAATCCAAATGACATTACATTCCATTCATAATGACCAAAATGAGTTGTAAATGCAGTCTTATATCTGTCTTCTGGGAATATCATGACTTGCCAGAAGCCACTTTTCATATCAAATTTTGAAAATATTACTGCATTACTAAGTCTTTTGATTAAATCCTGCTTATTTGGAATTGGGTACTTGATCCATTCCAAAACAGAATTTAAACCCTTGTAATTTATTACTAATCTTGGTGTGCCTCTTTCTAATTCTGCATTTTTGATGACATAGAAAGCTGGGCAAGACCAAGGAGATTTACTCTTCCGAATTATACCATTTTTGAGTAATTCTGAAATCTTTTTTTTTGCAGATTTCCATTACTTCATGGTTCATTTGGATGAGTCTGAATTTAGTTGGAATATTTTGTTCCTTAAATCCTTTAATATAAGGAAGCTTTACCATATATTTTTTCCTATGCCTGAAGGTTGTAAGAAGGTTAGAACATACTTTTGCTTCTAGTTTTTCTTTAAACTGATCAATCTTCTCAATTAAGATTGGATTGGTCAATTGTTCCTGAATTCTTTTGTGATTAATTTATTTTTTGAGAAATTTCACTTGTTTAGTTTTTTGGTTAATTAAATTAAGATACTTAGAGATTGAATGATCTTTAAGTTGTCTTAATTTTTTAACTTCTGGTTTAGTTACAAATTTGAATGTTACTGACTGACCAAGTGGTTTCGTGGTTACACCATTTGTATCTGTTGTAAAAGGATACAATAAATATACAAAGGGTATACCAAGGATAACATCATCAGTCATATCTTTTACTAAGATAAATGATGTCTTTAAACATACATTATCTTGACAGATATGCACACTTGGCAGTTTGTATTTAACATTCATTTTACTACCATTTTTTGAACTAAGTCTTTCAATGATTTTTTGATAATACTTAGTTGGGATAATGCCTTCTTGGATCCAGTTTACGTCTGCACCAGTGTCAATTAAGACAATGGTTTCTAATTCAAAATCATTATCAATGATGATTTTTACTTTAGAATGCCATTTTTGAAAATTAATTTTATTAACTACATTGATCTTATGATCATCATTAGCCTGGAAACATCCATCATGAGATGGCTGGTTCGTTACACCCAAAGGATCCACTAGAGAGGTGGAGGTTACAGGTATCCCCTGTAATTCTGTTCCATCATGAGATTCTGTCTTAGATTGTTCATTAACTAATGGTTGTTTTCCAGGATTAAAGTCCTTTGTATCGCCAAGACTATTTGTTGTTAAAAGACTTAAAGCTTCTGCAAATTTATTGTCTTGAGCTTTTAAATCTTTTATTTCAAATTTTATTTTATTAACTTCACATTGGAGATCTTGCAAGGTGATTTCTTTCTTTTTCTCCTTATTGAATCTTTCCATTATGGTGTTAATACTGATTAACTGTTTTTGATTAAAAGATTGTTTTGTGTCTTTGTTAACAAACAAATCTCTTAATTTTTTGATATATTTGACCTTTAAATCTGGGTCTTCAATTTTATTAATTAACTCAATGAGGATATGTTCTTCCTCATTTTGTTTTGTTATAACCTTAACTGTTTTACAGCAACTATCTTTGCAACCTAATTTGACCTTAGGTTCACTAGTGTTGCTAGAGACTGAATGGTAATCTGAAGAACTTTTAGAGCTGCTTGAGTCATCTGAACTTTCTTCACTATGGGAAAGATTACTTAACCTAAAAATGTTGAGAATTTCTTCTTCATCTTTTTGGGTTAGGTTTAATCTTTTGACTTATTTTTTAATTGGGCAATCTGGGCTTTTATGACCTTTTTTACCACA